ATAATATTCATTTAAATACAGGGATTCTGTTTGTAGATTAACTTGTATTATCATGTAATATTATATTAATTTCCATAAAGGGGTGTTGTGTGTAAAATAGCATATTATCACATTAGTCTTTTGTCATATAATATTATATTATTTTTCATTAAATGATGAAAACAATACAACATACACATGTATTATCACAATATTATATTGATTTTCATAAAGCGAAAATGTTTATAATAAAGTATAACATAGTCCATGCGTCACATACTTTTATTTTAATAATAAATTATATTTATTATAATCATCACATTAGCTAACATTATATTGATTTTCATTAAAGCGAAGATGATTTTTTAAAATATCACATAGCCCATGTGTCACATGATATTATATTAATTTTTATAAAGCGAAGATTTTTTTTTTCTTTTTATAAAATATCACATAGCCCATTATATTGATTTTCATAACGCGGAGATGTTTTTTTTAAAATATCACATAGCCCATGTGTCACATACATGTAATATTATATTGATTTTCATAAAGCGAAGATGTTTCATAACCCACGTGTCACATAATATCATATTGATTTTCATAAAGCGAAGATGTTTTTTTAAAATATCCCATATCCCATGTGTCACTTAATATTATATTATTTTTTATAAAGCGAAGATGTTTTTTTTAATATCACATAGTCCATGTGTCACATAAAATTATAGTAATTTTTATAAAGCGAAGGTTTTTTTAAATAAAATATCACATAGCCCATGTGTCACAAAATATTATATCAATTTTTATAAAGCGGCGATTTTTTAAAAAAAATATCACATATCCCATGTGTCACATAATATTATATTAATTTTTATAAAGCGAAGATGTTAAAATATCACATAGCCCATGTGTCACGTAATATTATATTAATTTTTTAAAAATAACTTATATATCACGTTAGGCTATTATTACTAACGTATATGCTAATATGTAGATATTTCTTCTATGAATATACGTATGTAATATACATATAGCCAATGTCATTAATCAAGATTAATTCTAATAAAAGGTAATTAGCGGGGTATTAATAGATGGTAAGAATGACAGAGCGGAAACATGATAGCACGTAGCTTATCACGGGATTACAGTTCAATGACACGATACGGTAGACCACACAGGTCTTAATTCTCAGCAATGTAAAATATCCGTTAAGATCCCAAAGTGCAGTGGCTCCCAACATTTATTCACTTACGGAGCCCGTTGGACATTTTACAAATCTTTTAGGCTCCACCCACGCCACGTCTACATTAACTATGTTAAGTCAGATTACCCATAATCTAATTTACACAAACCTTTCATTCTTAATAGCCTAGCCAGCCAATCGGGTCAAAACCCCATGAAAGATGATCGCCATTACTATTAATGAGAAATTATCCATAAATCCCAGAAATATCCTTGGGGAACGCCGGCAAATACAAATTGATTAATGTCGGTTATAGCAGTCATTACTAGCGTCATTTATTCATAAATTTCAAACTTTTCAAACATTCATTAAATATTCTCGATACGCCATTTGCATTTTCGCTAAAATCTCAAATTTCTCCCGACTTTATCCACACTAAAATGTACCCCGATTCATTTTTGAACATTTAATTGAAAAAAAAACCAGTTAAAAATATACTATTCAAAAAAAGTAGGGGATATTTGATTTTGGGGGCATAATACTAAAATATGCAAATGACTACGAAAAAAGTCACTATAGAACCTAACATAAGAAACATTTCCAGTTACATGTGACGCCCAAACGCACCAATAGCTACCGCATGGAATGCAGGTGATGCTTGGGATCATCATGGGGGTCCAACCCAAGATTTGCACGACTCTGACTTTGAATGTTACAGTCATTGTGGCATTGAATTCCAGGGTGGAAACATCAGTTTAATTGTTTTAGTGACCAGAAAACAAATTTTGATATGCGTCGGCTTACCCAAAATGAAAGGTTACGTGCCCTTGGCATGCTACAGATCGGCACAACACAGGCGGTTGTGGCGCGGACGATGAATGTTTCTCAGTCTGTCATAATCAGGCTATGGTCCAGATACCGTGATACACAATCTGTACAGGACAGACCACGCTCAGGTCGACCAAGGGCGACAACTCAAGCCCAGGATCGATTTATCCGTACCTTGGCCTTGAGAAATCGTGTCATCACAGCAAATCAGATCAGCGCTCGTCTTCAAACAGACACTGGTGTGAGAGTGAGTGGCCAGACGATTCGGAATCGACTGCATAGGGGTCACCTTCGCGCCCGACGTCCTCGCGTGATCCCTTGTTTGAGAGATCATCACATTCAGGCAAGACGTCGTTGGTGTAGGGATCGTCAACACTGGGATAATCGACGCTGGAGCAATGTGATGTTTTCAGATGAGTCAAGGTTCACTGTTGATTTTTTGGACAGACGTAGGAGGGTGTGGCGTCGTCGAAACGAGCGCTTCCAAGACGTTAACGTCATCAGACATGATCGATTTGGGGGTGGTTCTGTTATGGTGTGGGGAGGCATCACTGTTGCTGGAAGAACGGCTTTACATGTTGTTGCAGGGCGTGTTACAGGCCAGTACTACCGGGACAACATCTTGGCAGTCCATGTTGTGCCGTTCGCACGACGTCATGGCCGCCGTTTCATCTTCCAGGATGACAACGCAAGATGTCACAGGGCCAGGATCGTTACAGGTTACCTCCAACAACAGAACATCACCACATTACCTTGGCCAGCACTGAGTCCCGACCTCTCCCCCATCGAGCATGTCTGGGACATGCTTGGACAGAGGTTACGTCAACGTCAGCAACGTCCTGCCAATGTCCAAGAACTTGCTGCTGCGTTGCAACAGGAATGGGACAATCTGGACCAAAATGACCTTAGACGTCTCATTAGGAGTATGCCACGTCGGATCAATGCTTGTTTGGCAAACAGAGGAGGATTTACCCGTTACTGACTTGGTTGTGATGCTGTGGTAACTTTGCTGTTTGACCCCGGGTATCATTTTACCCTTATAATGGTCAGTCTGTGCCTTACTTAGTCTAACGATCATTTGGAATAAATCGATGAATGTGAACTTCATTTCATTTTGTCATTTGTTTCTTCGTCAGTTTCATTAGGTGACTTTAATAACACTTAAAAATCAAATATCCCCTACTTTTTTTGAATAGTATATCAGTGGAAGACAACCTCTCGGTGTGGATTCAATCTGATTTAAAATAGGTTCACCAGGTTTCGTCACTTCCGATACAAGATGGCGGCGACTTGTAACTTCGACCAGCATAGATAGATGAAATTTCAATATACATGTATCATAATATTGTAAATATTTAACGGAATTTAAACATTTTCGGACTGATATTACTATTAGGGATTCAACCTTTACAATAGCGCTAAATATACATTAAAGGGGAACTTTAGCCATTGGCATTTTGCATGTCTTATTTCTTATCCAAGCTCTAAAATAGAAATCATTTCGACCTTCATTAGTAAAGACAGGCACCGACAGTGAACACAAGATTCTGCGTGCTATTCGAGCTGATTTTAGTACTCGAAATTTTTGTATCCATTTAAAGGAATATTCTGCTCAGTTGAAATAGTAATTTGAATCGTTCAAATAAATGTATTATCCTTCGAATATTGGATTTCCATGATTTAATAATAGCAGACAAGAAAAGGAAGATGAATTCCATTAATTTTAATTGATATCGAATAATGAATACTAAAAACAAATCAGTTGAAATAGCCCTCTGGTTATGGAATGTTGAAATTATTTTAATGTTAGATAATAAATACAATGTAAAGTAATGGCAGCGGTTGAGTTCCCCTTTAATAAATCTATATATATATATTTGTGACTGTCGTTTGTCTGTCTGTCTGTCTGTTCGGGGTTGGCGGCTACACTAGGTCTGCCCCGAGTCTGAAATTTGGGGTATAGGGGAAGCTCGGACCGGGGAGTAACATAGGCCAGGTGGCGTTAGTCTACCACTTCCGGTTTCGGAGTTATGACCCCCCGAGCGAAGCCGGTCTGTTCGGGGTTGGCGGCTACAGTAGGTCTGCCCCGAGTCTGAAATTTGGGGTATAGAGGTAGCTCGGATCGGGGAGTAACATGGGCCAGGTGGCGTTAGTCTGCCACTTCCGGTTTCGGAGTTATGACCCCCGAGCGAAGCCGGGTATCCTGCTAGTATATAATATTGAAATAAACCATAGATACATTTACACAAGTTAATTTCCGTACAAAATAGTAAATCACATATTTTCGACGCAATGGCCACGAACAATATTAATAATAATATGTGTCATTGTTTCAGGAACACAACATATTTATGCAAAATAAATAATGAATAAAATACAATGCAGTCTAAATCTATACAAGGGTGTCAACTCTGACATATGGAACTATCAATGGGCATTCCGGTAATGTCAGCAATTCTGACTCAGAATGCATGTTCGAATATGAAGAGCCCCGGGAAAGAACGATCTAAGTCATTTTTTCAACGAACCCCAGTTAATGGCATCATCTGGTAGCAAATTGTATAAGCTTTCTGTGGAAGACTCAATTTCAGGTAAAAACGATCGGAGTCACATCGAACCAAGGCCCTTCTGAAATGGCCTCCCGGACAAATACGTCCATCGTACCCTTTATTTGACCTTAATTTGGCTGAAAAGTGGAAGTCAGTTGTTGTACTGGTAATTATGATTCGTATTAAACATCATTTTGAATTTGTAATTAAACCCACTCGTTGTTCTGTCCCGTCAAGCATTTTCGTCCAAAAGTCTGTTTTGCCTTTTATGCGAAAAGACAAAAATGTGACTTAGATCGTTCTTCCCCTGGACTCTTCATATGCATTCTAAGGTAATAAGTTAAAGGCCCAGGTCGTCGTCCTAGCAAAATGTCTAATACTTTGTAATTTGGTTTAAACAATATTTTATTCAATATAATTACACATAATCATACAATTATACAGTCTTAAGGATACGCTTCCTATGTAATTTCAACACATACTTATTAAACCATACATGTTTGAAACATTCACTCCACTAGAAAAACGCTATAATAGTTCATTTTATTGCTACGGGTCTTTTATTTATGCAGAGTATAGCAAATAATCACAGGATACGAAGTGCGGGGGTGGAAATGATGGATAAATAAGCTGAATGGAATAAATAGCCATGGGTAGTAGCTATTAAGCATAGCACTAATATATAAAGATGATGGAAAATATCAATATACAAACAGGGTAATATATCAATACATGTATTATTTATACTTTTTACGGTATTATTATAGTAATAACAGAGTAGGTGTTAGGGACCATTTAATTATCTTCTAATTGTTTCGTATTAATTTGAACATATTAAAGATACATTAGTAACATCGCATATGGACTATGCAAATTCTCTTCTATTAGGAGCACCAGAAACAGCTTTAAACAGGCTACAAATAGCGCAAAACAATGCTGCACGTCTTATAACTAAAACACGAAAATTTGATCATATATCAGCTAAGTTACAGAAACTCCATTGGCTTCCAGTTCGAGCGATGGTTCAATTTAAAGCTCTTGTGAATGTGTTTAAATCAATTTATTCTGACACCGCACCCAGTTATTTAAAAGAACTCTTTGATTTCTATACTCCCAGGCGATCCAACCTTCGTTCTTCAAGTGATCGTAGCATATTGAGGATCCCCAAATATAATAAGCGTTCTGGTGAATATCCTTTCTCCCTCAGAGCAGCTAAAATATGGAATGATCTTCCAGAAACTCTTAGAGAGTCCTCTTCCATCCAGAGCTTTAAGACTAACTTAAAAACATACTTATTTCAAAAATGCTTTTGAACTGTTTTGTTGTGAATGCGCTTAGAAACACTCATTTGTAATGAAGCGCTATATAAATCAAACAATAATAATAATAATAATAAAATAAAAAAAAATTAGATAAAGAGCTGACCGTTCTTGCTATACTAGTCGAAAAATAGATAATGAAAAATGAATATATTGAAAATTTCATTCATATTACTTTATTCTGATCGAAGTTGAATGCGTGTTTGAAGATGTAGCATAGATCGCCTATCATCGTAGCAACGGTACTTGACAACCGAAAATAAGTCTCGATTATCCACTTTATCGTTAAATTTTAAAATCCCGCCATTTTAATCTCGGCCACCTGATGTTTAAGATGGTTGATTATAGACTTATTGTGTTAATAAATGTCTAAAGAATAATTTATATAACATTTAAAGCTACAAGAAAGACCTGTAATAGGCATGTTTAGCTCTTACATAAAGCATCTGTAAGTTTTTGTATATAGTAGGGTTTCATGAATCCGGCACAAGTCTCAGTAACCTAAAGAGGTCCCCTTCCATGCATATTGTTACAGACAATACAATTTTATCGAAATAGTATATACAATATAGGTTTAAATACGTAAATGAATGCTTTTAAAAATAGATCAAATTGTGCATAAACTGTAATGGTATAGTGGCTGACTGGGATAGGAACACAGGACACAAAAGAATTCCTACATCCCTTCTATTTCAAATCTTTCTCTCCCTTTTCTTTTTCCTCTTTTTCCATGGAGATCTGTGCTGACTCTTTGGTGCAGAATCGAAGAAAGGGGTTTGCAAATATAATGTCTGCAAAGTTTGGGTGAATATTCGTGATTTTGAGTCAGGATGATAACAAAGTTAAGAGGTTGGCTACATTAGGGTGAATAATGCCGTGTTTACTAGTATGCTCTTCCAGTTTGAATATCCCATTTCACGGTTTCCACACACAAGCTTGACTGAAGTTGCCACGTGTTGTCCCATCTGTGATAGAAAGCGTTCAACCAAATGAAAATTTGGGGAAGAGTTAGAACCAACGAAAGAGATGAGAAGTAACATTAGAATCAACGGAAACATCCAAGGTGTACTGTGGCCAAGTGTTGAGTGTTGCACAAGCCCTTGCAGAGTTACCCAAGGGAGATAATTCTATCATGGTAGATAATCATTATTTTCAGGTATTGTTGACGGTCTTTTGTTATCTTCATTTCCCCTTTTATATGATTCTCTGCTGATTCTTTTAGATTTAGCTATATGAACTATGGTACCATCGGTAGTAGGGCTGTCAACGGGCGTCAGTGAGTTTGATCGATTGTTAAACACTGTATTACTATTACCCATACCTGCACAATTACAAATAAATAAAAAAGAAAGATAAGAAAATTATATTATAGTCCCGATGCACGGAAATCACTCTATAAAAATGCATATACCTATGTAAAATGAAAATGTAATGAAATGGGGTTTAACGTCGTACTGTTTTGCTCCGACTGAGCTAATGACGACGGACATACGTCATACAGTGTGATATGAGGCGGAACGAACCCCCGTTATTCTTCCGATTAGAACGACTATACGTTGTCCCCCCCCCCCCCGCCCGCTCCCCAGTCCTGCACCACTGACAATGGGGTACCATGCCGGAAGTTTCGGGTGAACTTTCTAGGTCAACACAGGGATCGAACACGGAATGCACCGATCCACCATTGCATGGTGCGGACATGGCTTATAAAATAGGTCTTTTAAAAAGCTAGGATCAGTAGAACTCCACAGTTCGGTGGTGAGCGCAAAGATAAACTACGATAACGTGCCGCTGCCTCTAATGATTTAAGCGGTATTAAAGTCTCGTTTTGCCATTTGCATTTTTCGCTAAAATATCAAATTTCCCACGGCTTAATATGTACTCAGAATGATCTTTTAACATTTAATTAAGAAAACAAAATGATAATACCAACACTGTATAATGTCCCTGCTAGAATTCAATCGGATTTTAAAATGCATTTTCGCGGACAACAAAATGACGACATGCTTATTGCATATCTTTGTAAATACTGAATGGAATTGAACCATCTTTGGACTGATATTCCTTATAGAGATTCGCCTTACAAAATATTGTAAAATGACGCACCGTGTCTTTAAAGCGACAATAACACTCTTGGTGTGTTAAGATGAAATTTGTATCATCAATTAATTGGAATATTGTAAAATAGTACAATTTGTTGACCAGAATAAAGATTAGGACATATTATTCAGTTACAACAAGAGTGGTATTGAGGCTTTAAATGAAAAATAAAGGAGGTATCCTATAATAATGTATCCCCCAAACCATGTACCGTTATCGTCAGTGTTTACGTCCTTTACGGTCCGATAGTTTTAAATTTCAATCACAGTGTCATCTGTATTCCAGAAAATTCCAATCTAGTCTTAATAGGATATCTATAGTTACACCCCATTTCTTATCAATTACTATCAATATGACACTGGTTCAGATAATTAAAATATACAGTCAAAATCGGCCATATTTCAAAATTAACTTAAAGAGATAATTATACCACCTGTGTGGTCTTCGTTTGTAAAATAAAAACAATGTTCATTGAAGAATATATGCGAACTGACACTAATTAAACGGTTCTGTATCAGAAATGAAATGAAGTGAAAAGGTGTTTAATATCCTACGTAACTTTCAAGAAATATATTCACCGTTGACGTGATTTTTTTTAAATGCCATGATAAGAACAACAAGTACGAGCATATTTTATGGACCAGGAACCGAACATGACGTCATCACGGCCATCTTTGAATTGTGGTGCTATACAATGTATATGAAAAAAAGTCGATCCCCAATACTCCAAGGAACACGAATACCAATTTTCATGCTGATCGTACTTGTATTTAGGGGATCCTTGGGTGGGCTGTTTTCGGAAAGTGTCGTCCCCAAGAAGAGAAGGAACAAGAAGATAAACAATATGAGCAGTTATTGGTCCAAAAACCGCCTATAAACCTTCATGTTCAGCAGAAATAAAATAATATGTTTTTCTATCTTTTCCACGCTTGACACTGCCTCATCAGCAACGCATTACCGCGACCCCCAGATGGGCAGATATTAAAGCAATTTACTCGATTAACAGCTAAATCTTGAAGCGAAACTCTTAAAATCCGCCATATTTTCTTTACAAATGAAGTAGCAAGTATGGCTGTTGTAACAGCAATCATCGTTCTAGGACGATCTACAACGGTTTTTTAAATTTCACACGGAAATTTGTGTAATTGCATTCCAGCTCCAATTTAAGAAAAATAAACAAAGCTATTGCTTGCGCGTAGGGGTCTTTAGCAGAAGAAGGAAACCGGAGGACCCGGAGAAAACCCACGAGGTTGGACAGGCGACCATACTCCTTGTCACGTACAACCAGGGAATCGAAACCCCGCCAGTTGATTCAATGACAGACCGTATGATACAGCGCGCGCGTGCTAACCATTCAGCCATCCCCCCCCCCCCCGGTAATAAGGTGAGCCCAAGGTTATTTTGAATATGATATTACGTAGATTTGCTGACACGTATAGTTTAATCGCCCTGTCTTTTTAAAGATTTCAAATCAAAACATTTAGCCGTTCCGAATGAATGCAAGATTTGCTTTATGGGATTACATAACTCGTAATGGGTCCTTCAAAATAAAACGTTGGCACGCTAACCGGGGGTCTCGTATTCGAATCCTGCATTTGTCGAGAAAGTTTATCTGGATTTTCTGGCGTAGTTCCCCTTTGTCAGTTGTGCCGGACGGTGGACCTGGTAAGGGGCAAAATATGGTCATTCGGATAGGACGAAAAACCGAGGTGACGTGTACACATTGGCGTGCACGTAAAAGAACCCTGTGCAGTTGGAATTCGATATAAGAGTAGGCCATAGCGCCACTGTCCGGGCAAAATTCCCCTCATAGCACACTATATTGCCTATTCCCGTCTTCATTAGCCCAGTCGGAGCATATCAGTAGGACGTTAAACCCTGTTTAATTTCATTTCATAAAACTCGAACCTAATTAGCGTTTGGGATTATGTCCCTTTAGTAGGTTGCCACAACACAATCAAACATTGTCTCTAATAAAAGTTAACTTAACTTTAGCAAATTCATCTAGGGTATGAAGTGCAGTCAAGTATTATGACTAGTATAACAATGAAATGAATGAAATGGGGTTTAACGTCCTACTTTTCCGCACCGACTGGGCTAATAAAGACGGGGGAGAACAATGAGAGGATGACACTGTACCTCACTAGCTCGATACTAATAGTTTATTTCATTTAATACATATTTACACTGTTATTTTTATCTCTCCTCTTTTTTAAAAAAATATTTTACAATAATTAAATGGGGTGTAAAATTGAATCCATGTAATCGATGGGCGGTATTAAGAAAATGTCGGAACATCCAAAATTGTTAGGTAATGGAGTATGATGGGACTATTCCGGGATGTAGACTAGCAGAAATTACTCATTAGGAAAATCCCTACGTCTTTTGTCTCTTACATTCGTTCCAGATCAATCATCGTAGGTAACCTGGAATCAATTAAATATTAAAAGTTGGACGCCCGTCCCGACCTGATAAACCAGATTACTGATCAAGGTTAACAGGATAGAAGTAGCGTGGATCCCTTCTCATGTAGATGATCGGGGCCACGAAGGGGTGGCAGGCTGGCTCCCAACGGATTAGAACTGCAGAACCTTGGTATCGAATTTACTTATTGTACAGCCGAATTTAAAAGTATGTGCTTTATGCTAAAAAAGATAGACACCATGCAGTTATTCGAACTTACATGAGTGCGTGTGGGAGGGGTGAGGGGATATCCCGCTTGGAGATCGATACGTGTCAGGTGACCTCGGGAAATTTGGGTCTTTTTTCTTTGGGCGTCGAGGCTAAAACCAAGACAGCGCATCAGCCCCAGTCTCTAGCCATTGTACGTAGCGATAGTGACGATCGTTACCTTCAGTACTCTATAGAGATCAATTCAGTGTCTGACCTTTCGATGTATCAGATTCTTTCTATACCAGATCGGGGATGGCGATGTGTTTCCATCATTACGGCCCAACGGTTCCCATAAGATTACAATAGTTATTAAATCTCAAATCGTTAATTACGGTAAATGGACAGCGAATAACGACAAATACACGCTATAAAATGGATTCTCCCTTAATCAAGTCACGTGACAAACATGGCCGTTTAAAATAGAGTGTTGCGGCATGGTGTAGTTTTATTGAGATTTAAATGTTTTGAGAGGGATTTGAAGTAAACTTTAATGTGAACATGTTTTAAGTCCAACTTTATGATCAAATCACAATTTTTGTACGCGGAAAGGCGTCTTTAACCGAGAATGTTCATCAAGTCTATGTTGAAAGGTGCCGATGAACGAATTAAAAAAAAAACAACTTCGGCATGTCGTGTTGTGAGGTTATATCTCAGTGGGGTGGTGTGACATTCTTTCTTTTATCCATATAATAATAGCTTCTAAAATATAATGCCTTTATTCTTTATAGCTGTTAATGATATGCACCTTATACTCGACATAATATCGGGTTATGTTTGATCTTTCATTATGTAATATAAGATCCTTAATTACTTTATAATCGGCATGCTACTTGGGCTATGTTCAATCTTGGTTTGAATCTAATATCCCTGAACTTATAACTTTTTAAAATATATTTCAATGAATGCTTAAGGCATGAATACTTACAGTGCATGGAAGAGGTCCTGTGTTATATCCCGGTGTTAGCGCAGGAAGTATTGAAGGGGGGGGGGGCTGTTGTCTAAATGGTACGACAGATTTAACGCGTCCAGTTGGCACAAAGAAGGTCATTTCGAGACCCGGTGGAAACCAACGAGGTTGCACAGGCGACCTTACTCCTTCTCACCACGCCACTTGACTCATGGACAGACCTTATGATATAGCATGCACGCGTTAAACCATTGGTCTTGAATAAAATTAATATTGAGATTAAAGGGAGAGAACCGCGTATACTTGATGCATATATAAATTTATTACTTTCAATAGTTGTCAAGATATTTTCAGCACGGGGCACTTTACAACTGTAACCATTTTGCTTTATAGTTTTATACTCACCAACGCTAACGACACTACTGCGTTTGGTATTTTTTATAACCGTTGGTTGTTGTGTGTCTGGTTTTCCGCCATTTGATGACTCTTTACAGCTCACACAATATATACATCCGACCCCAAATAGTGCCACAAGAGAAATTGTAGACAATAATACAACATATATTGCACTTTGCGAACTGAAACAAAAATAAATAAACATAAAATTTTGTAACAATGTGTTTGACTACATTATTCTCAACTAAAACCTTCGTAATTAAATATGAGCACATAACTCAAATCAAACAAGCACAATTGAATATAATTACATTACTAGAGAGAGAGAGAGAGAGAAATGGGGTTTAACGTCCACTCGACACAAACTAGGTCATTTCGGGACTAACATATGGTTTAATTTTATTTCAATAATTCGCTTGCGCGTAGGGGTCTTTAGCAGTGGGAGGAAACCGGAGAACCCGGAGAAAACCCACGAGGTTGGACAGGCAACTACATTACTAAGTTAAAACATGACTATATTCCAAAGTTAAAACATGACTATATACATCATTCAATTAAAATCTTCACAATTAAATATAATTACATTATTAAATTAAAACCTTCACAATTAAATATAATTACATTATTAAATCAAAACCTACGCAATTAAGTATGACTACATTACTAAGTTAAGACATGACTATATTCCAGAGTTAAAAAAGAGAGAGAGAGAGAAAAATGGGATTTAACTACCACTCAACAAAAACTAGGCCATTTCGGGACTAACATATGGTTTAATTTTATTTGAATAATTCGCTTGCGCGTAGGGGTCTTTAGCAGTGGGAGGAAACCGGAGGACCCGGAGAAAACCCACGGGGTTAGACAGGTGACCCTACTCCTTGTCACGTACAACCGGGGATTCGAAACCACGCCAGTTGACTCAATGACAGGTTTTTATGATACAGCGCGCACGTGCTAACCATTCGGTCATCCCCCTCCCCCCCCACACACACACCAAAGTTAAAACATGACTACATCATTCAATTAAAACCTTCATAATTAAATATAATTACATTATTAAATTAAAACCTTCGCAATAAAGTATGACTACATTACTGAATTAAACTATGACTACATGATTCAATTAAATATAATTACATTATTAAATTAAAACCTTCACAGTTAAATATGATTAGAGTTCTAAGTCAAAACCATAACAATTAAAAATGGCTACATCATTCAATTAAATATGATTAAATTAAATTAAAACCACCGCAATTAAGTATGATTATATTACTAAATTAAAACATGACTAAATCATTCAATTAAATATAATTACATTACTAAATTTAAACCTTCTCAATTGAGTATAACTACATTAATGAATTAAACAATGACTAAATCATTCAATTAAATGTAATTACATTATTAATTTAAAACTTTCACAATTAAATACGATTACATTTCTAGATCAAAACCATAACAATTAAAAAAAATGACTACATCATTTAATTAAATATGATTACATTTCTAATTTCAAACCACCACAATTAAGTATGATTACATTACTAAATTGAAACATGACTACGTCATTCAATTTTAATAATTACATGACTAAATTAAAACCTTCACAATTGAGTATAACTATAATACTATACTAAATTGAAACCTTTACAATTAAGTCTGACCATATAAAACCTTCGCAATTAAAAATATACCTGCTTTATCCAATTGAAACATTCAAAAATAAGTATGACCACACTATTCAATGGCTACTTTACTCAATTGAAACTTTCATATTTAAATATTGCCACATTACTCGATGGAAATGAAATGCAATGAAATGGTTTTTAACGTACTACTGTTCTGCTCCGAACTGGGCTAATGAAGACGGGCATACGCCATACAGTTTGCTATGAGGGAAATTTTGCCCGGACAGCGGCACTACGACCTACTCTTATATCGAATTCCAACTGTCAAGGGATCTTTTACGTGCACGCCAATGTGTACACGGGACCTCGGTTTTTCGTCCCATCCGAACGACTAGACAGCTGTCCTCGATGGAAACATCTAAAATACTCAATTAAAACCGTCACAATTATGTGTATCTTTAAACATGGTATAAATTATACTAAAACTACTTACATTGGGGTACTATCAACGGGCCTTGCTATTACACCTGGAGAGAAATCATAAAATTTATAGAAATGAATAGTGAAGAAATAAAATACTTTTCAATATACTATAAATATTGGCCGTGGTAATCGCGCGATAATTTCGCTTTTCCCATTCCCGGTACGTGTCAGGGGTAGCGCCTTGCTTTTGTCGTTCAGATTGTACAAAAATCTAATGTCCACCCATGTACACGTTGGCCACCCTTTGAAAAAATTATCAAGCATCGCTGACGTATGTTAGTCTCAAAATGACCGACATATAAAATGAAATAACATGAAATGGGGTTTAACGTTCTACTGTCCTGCTGCGACTGGGATAATGAAGACGGGTATACGCCACACGGTGTGCTATGAGGGAAATTTTGCCCGGATAGCGACGCTACGACCTACTCTTATATCGAATTCCAACTGCCAAAGGATCTTTTACGTTCACGTCAATGCGTACACGGGACCTCGGATTTTCGACCCATCCAAACGACTAGACAACTGTCCTTGTCAGACTCTACGTCCTGCGCCACTGACAAGGGGAAACCAGGCCGGATAATCCCGATCAACTTTCTCGGCCAACACCAGGGACAAACCCGCGACCTCGAGGCTAGCGAGCCAGCGTTTTACTTACTTAGCCACCGTGACCCCCCCCCCCCCCCGCCCCCCCCCGCCCCCCCCCCCCCGAGATATAAATATGAATATATTTAACCATTCACTCATCAATGATTGAAATTTTTACGGTTATATAATTTCTTTCTACACGATGTTAACATGCTAACATAATACTTACAATCTACAGTTAATATAAAAACAAATAACTTTACACATATCCGCAGCACCGAAGATTTGCACCCACAATCTAAACTAAGTAATACACGGTCCATCTTTGACTTAACTTCTCGACACCTACTAATTCAACTCCTTCATATATATGTATTATATATCTATTTATTTACATAAACCATTATATATTGTTACGAGATATATGTTAATGCGTTTTTGATTGTCAGCCGGTAAAGTATATAGTAAGGTTTAACCCCCAATACTCTTTAAAGCGACAGTCTTTCAACATAAAAGAAATGAAATGGAGTTTAACGTCTTACTTTTCTACACCACCCTGCCTGTTCAACCACGTGGATTTCTTCCGGGTTTTCCCGTTTCGCCCCACTACTAAAGACCTGTATGCACAAGCGAATTGTTGAACTAAAATTGAACCATATTTTAGTCCAGAAATGAGCTAGTTTATTCCGTGTGGACGTTACCCACCCCCCCTCTCTCTCTCTCTGATTGACTTTTCCACTTCGCATAATACTAGTTTTTGTTTAATCCAAATCAAATAAGATGGATCTGTCCAAGTGTGCCGGTTTTTATCTGAAAGATACATTGCATCTAACATTTTACTTGTCTAATTTGGTGTGTTGTAGTTAAACCATATTATGTTAGTCCCGAAATGACCTAGTTTGTGTCGAGTGGACGTTAAAGCCCATTTCTCTATCTCTCTCTAGAGGGACTAACATAATATGGTTCATTTTTTTTATTTCAATAATGCGCTTGTGCGTAGGGGTCTTTAGCAGTGGGGGGGGGGGGGGAACCGGAGGACCGGAGAAAACCCACGAGGTTGGACAGGCGACCCTACTCCTTGTCACGTACAACCGGGGATTCGAAAGCACGCCAGATGAGTCAATGGCAGGCCTTATGATACATCGCGCACGTGCTAAATATTCGGCCATCCAATCCCCTGTATCTCGATAGATGTAATACTGCATGTGAATGACACACTGTCGGACCAACACAGGACAGGAATGGAAATTGACGTCACGTCAGTATATACCTTGATCAAATGGGTTTTAACGTCCACTCGACACTAACTAGGTCATTTCGGGACTAACATACGGTTCAATTTTATTTCAATAAGGCGCTTACACCTAGGGGCCTTTAGCAGTTGGAGAAAACCAGAGAAAACCCATGAGGCTGGACAGGCGACCCTGGTCCTTGTCACCACGTACAAGCCGAGAATTGAAAGCATTCGGCCACCCAACCTCTTTCACTTCATTGTTTCCATTCCAAGGCTTGTTTTGCATGCATGCCAGCGTATGCACGCACGAACCTGGCTATTTCTAATCATCCATCCAAGGGATTAAAAGAAACACTTACTTGTGCATCTCACACAGGTACTACTCGTGACAAGTGAATAGCCCCGGGGAAGAACGATCTAAGTCACTTTTTCAACGAACCCCAGTTAATGGCGCCATCGGGTAGCAAATTGTATAAGCTTTCTGTGGAACAATCAATTTCAGGTAAAAGTAAAAACGATCTGAGTCACATCGAACCAAGGCCTTTCTGAAATGGCCTCCAGGACAAATACGTCCATCGTACGCTTTATTTGACCTTAATTTGGCTGAAAAGTGGAAGTCAGTTGTTGTACTGGTAATTATGATTCGTATTAAACATCATTTGAAGTTGTAATTAAACCCACTCGTTGTTCTGTTCCGTCAAGCATTCTCGTCCAAAAGTCGGTTTTACCTTTTACGCGAAAAGACAAAATTGTGAATTAGATCGTTCTTCCCCTGCTTGGACTCTCCAAGCGGTAAACCCGGATTGAAACACCCCGAGATTCTTATCGATCCACCCAGGAATTCTACTCGAGAATCCAGCGCATCTCGACTCCCACAATTAACGAAATGCTGTCATGATTTGTGGTTTAAAGCCTTCTCTTTATGTATATTTTTGCAAGTAATGAAGGACTAGCGAATCCATTGCGTTTACTACTCGACTATCTCGACTCTCGGAATCAACAAAAGCCTACAATGATTATTGTGGCTTAAAGCCTTCTCTTTATGTATATTTTTGCAAATAATGGAGCACACCAGGGTGTATTATATACAGATACAATGTAGGATTATGTACAATTAAACTAAACCAAATTACCCATGTAATTTCAAATCGTAGATCCCAAAAGAGATTGTCTACGTTTTATGTCTGACTTATAATAAAATGTATATATATATCTATTGCTTGATTTTCTCACGATTAACCTTAATGCGTTTCGGAAAAAAATTGATTATTGTTTGAATAACATACGAGGTTATTGAACGAATTGTGAATAATAACAAATGACACAGTAATAACTTGTGTATTATTATGCGGACCTCTTTACTAAATATAAACTACACAATCGAGGACAAAGAACAAGGAATTGTCCTCGACCCAGTACATATGTTAAGTCGCTTATTCTTCATTGATTGACAGATGTAATACACGTACTTCGATTAGAAATGAAATGAAATGGGCTTTATCATCTCATTGTTCTGCTCTACCATACGCCATACAGTGTGTTGTGGGGGGGGGGGGGGGATTTTGCCTGGACAGCGGCTCTGCAGCCTACTGCTATATCGAATTCCAAATGCCAACGTTCTTTTACTGCACGTCATCGTGCACACGAGACATAGGCTCTGCATCACTGATTAGGGGGGTAAACACGCCAGAAAATCCGGATGAACTTTCTCGGCCAACCTTGTCTTAAATTGGCCAAAATGACTGAAAAAATGTAATGAAATATAATACATTTTAAATCAAATGTTGAAAAACAAAAACTAAAATTTGTTGAGTGTCTAAACGCGTGCTTGATTGCCTTGATAGTTCTAAAGACGTCTACGTCAACATGACTATGGTTTAGGTGCAGCTATAGCGGGTGTGGCGACAGTCACAGTAAGCTTACTCTTCCGGACACCTGTTACCATTGTTCATCATGTATTTTGTACATGGTGAACTGTCCATTTGCTGATTATGGACCGTTTTTTAAGACTTCGAATTTCGTCTAATGGTTTGGATTGTTCGTTTTATTTTATTGAATACTTTAAAGGACAATATTGGTGTCGGTCATTATCACATAAATGATAGAAATTGTTAAACACGTTCTAAATATAATTTTAGCACAGATATCATTGCTACAATAGATGCGTTATGAAGATTTCAAGAAAGGGACGTGACGAACGCAAAAGGAAAACACGGGTTATCCTTCTATCCTTCTGCATTCGTCACTTCCCTTTTTTGAAGTCTTCATAACGCATCTATCGTAGCAATGTTCTCTGTGCTAAAATTATATTCGGAACGTGTTTAACCAGTTCTATTACATATGTGATAATGACTGGCACCAATATTGCCCTTTCAGAGCACCAACCACTTACCCGACACTTATAGGTGGCGCTGGGTTGTTTATATGGTTTGCTGAGAGAGATACAGGCTGCCTTGCTTTTTACTTTAAAATTTTATAATGGGACAACACTGCCTAGAAGTCCCATATACTTCCGTGTTTGTTCAATTGAGAGAGACCTTGACTCATTTTATTGGCAACACAAAGACGAACACAAAAATGAAAAGAAATGTCAAAAATAGACAGTGATCGATTTACTTCTATTGTTTGGTAAAGGTGAATAGAACAGGGAACGTAATGTCCAGAGAAAATGTGGGCCCAATCTGGGAGACCCGAAGTTATAGGATATGAATACAATACAGGATATGAATAACTTTAAAGTAAAATAGTCTTTAACTAAATATCATCCAAAGTCTTCGACATTGAAACACAATTTTTTTGTCAATTTAAATCAACATTGATGTTGTGATCTTACCGGGAAAAGATGGGCTTCTGATATCCATTATTTAAGGCAAAATAAACATTCTACCATCGGTACACGAATCGTGTACCAGAATGTGTATCGGCGCCATTTGTAACAAGGGACTAGAAGAACGAGGCTAGACATATTCCACAAGTCATGTCAAGCGATGACACCAAATTCATATCTGAAGAGCATGCGCAATAAATACCACCGGTATAGACTGGAATAACCAGACGCTAGAGACTGCCATTCGATTGAGACTTCAGGCGTATTTTGCCGAACATAACTGTTTTGAAATTAGAGTAAAAACAGAAACGACTGAATGTAAATCAGTTTATATACATTCATATTACATTATTATATGCGTTGCGACCCATTTGTGTCAATTTCCAGGTCCTAAATATTAGCGATTTGGCTCCTTTAACTTCATATTTAAGGCCTACTATGCCTCACTTCACAATAGTTATTGATTAATATCTTAAAATAGCCCTGCTGCCAGATTGCCTGGCGATCTGCAAGGCCCTTTTCTTGTGTTGGGCGGAAGTTTGGGAAATTGTTCAAAAAATGTGGTTTATGGCATTTAAACACGTAATATATACATAAATCTCTAAGGCAATTACTTTGAAGACTGCTCATATATTTGAATTAATGTAGTTTATATATTTGAATTTATGTACTACTGTTACATTAGGTGGTTGGATGGCCGAATGGTTAGAGCGTGCGCGTTGTATCATAAGGTCTGTCATTGGGTCAACTGCATGGCGATGTTTAGATTCCTCGGTTGTACGTGACGACAAGGAGTAGCCTCTCCAACCGCGTTGGTTTCTTCGGGTCCCCCGGTTCCCTCACACAGCTAAAGACCCCCACACGGAAGCGAATTATTAAAATGAAATTGAACCATGTGCTAGTCCCGAAATGAGCTACTCTCTCTCTCTCTCTCTCCTAAATGATATTTCCTGGGAACTATGTTACCATGCCTTTTATTTAGAAATCTTTCTAATTCTGTCCATTCATCAAATTAAAGTGGTGGGAGATATCTGTTTTAATTTAAACTTTATTTGTGATATAAATGACTAACCACCAATATATGTATTCCCGTCTTTATACATAATGCCAGTCACATGGTTGTAACGAAAAGGACATGCGTGAAGCTAGTCTATTCAAGGGAGGTAAAGCTAGCGCAATTCGTTCTAGCAGGACTAAGACTAGCAATTATTTGCCCATTGACTCAAATGTTGTATGACTGCAACAGCATTCTGTAGCTTTTTGCTCAACATTCTGTTGGT